GGCGAGGGGAGCGGGGGGGGGGGGGGGGGGGGTGGAGGGATTGGGGTGTTCACATTAACTGCAGATTCTTATAGTGAGCTATACACGCGATACCCGAAATCGTCATCCATCCCTAGCTGATGTATATGTTCTATTATTACACTGCATAGGTCTATGTCGGCTGCTGATTGACATCTTGTTCAATGGCGGATGAAGCTCACCTGCCCGGTGTAGAGATCTTTGTTGTCCTTATTCTGGCTGAAAAGGAACATGTTAATGAAATGAATGAGCAGGCTTGGAGCCCCCTGAGCTTCCTTTACATCCCATGCAAACCACTTGTAGAAAATCATGAACACCAGATATCCAAAGAGGCAAAGCAAGAAGAGCAGCTCTGGGATGGACACTACGAGGATGCGGTACTTCTGCTTGAAGTGTCTGCAAGAGAAAAGAGCAATATGAAAATGCTCTACCCTCATCTACTACACAACAACCGACCAACCAACATTCCCGCCACCCCAACACACACACTGCAACCAATCAGCTTCTCTCATTTTCAAATCTTATGAGCAAATGGAGCAAACTGAATAGCGGTAAGTTGCTTTCTACATTTAGTCCTGCTTTGGGAAGGCAGGACTAAATGTAGTGCGAGGAAGCCGCTTGTGCGTTTACAAGTGATCGCAGCGATGTCACCACGATCTCTTGTAATATGTCTGCAGCCTGTCCGTCCTCCCCCCACACCTACCTCTCTCCTCTGGCTCCGTCCTCCCCCTGGCCGCCGAGTCTCTCTCCTCACTGGCCGCCGATGCAGGGAGCAGAGCGGCAGAGTTAAAACTAACCCTGCTGCTCTGTTTATGCAGTGAGAGGGGAGAGCAGTCTTTCCCCTCTCAGCTGTCACAGGAGTTCCAGCACAGTGCTGTGCTAGAACTCCTGTATTGGAGGTGGCAGGGTCAATAAAGAGAACCTGTCACCTCCAAATGCTGTCACACAGGGGTTTGTTAGCTCCTGTGTGATGGCAATAAAGTTAAGTGAAAATTTTTTTTTAAAAAAGGATTAAAAGGGAAAAAATAAAAAAGGTGATTAAAAAGTAAAATTGGTTCGTGGGGCACATTGCGGAACCTGGCCTTGGGGCAGCAGGGAGAGTAAATCCAGACAGGGCTGTGCCGTGTAAATCTGAGGTCTGGATGGATAGAAATACAAAAACATTTCCCTTATATATTTTATTGATGGATTTAGCAGTTTGCCTGGAGTTCAGCTTTCAGTTCAACAGGGTTGCATGTCATCATTGTACTCACATGAAGTTAAAGATACTCAGAAACACTCCAAAGGACATATGGGTGACACCTAGAATAACAGACATCTTCATCTTGAAGGAGTTCAGGAATGTCAGGCGATTGATGGCAAAGCTCCACATCTGGAATGAAAAAAACCAAAACATGGATTCCATTTAGGCAGATAGGACCATGCCAACTAAATGGTAGATTACAGTAGGAGGGTCAGTAGGAGGCCAAAAAGGGTCTTAAATGGAAACCAGTGTATTTTCAGGAAGATGTAACTTATTATTGCAACCTGAAAGTACTGGTGCCATCCCCTTGCAGTACTTCTTTCCAGCACAAGATGTCCTCCTTACTGAATGATGGCCAGAATCATTCAATCCATTTCCTCTGAGCCTAGGCCCTCATGTACCCGCCCCCAGCCTGTGACTGGCCCCTTTCTTTGCCCTCTCCTCTATCAGCATGCTTCCTATCAGCATATGAACGGTACTGCTTCTTTCTCTCCAATCCTGAGCTCTGCTGTATAGGAATTGCAAGCGGTTGATGCCAAGGAAAAAAAAAAAAAATATGGAGGATGAGAAAACTACATTAATGTGTTTTATTTCTATCTGAAATTGAGCTTTAACATATAAAGTTCGTACAGCAGAGTTCATGGGGTTGGGGAGGGGTGTGTGAAGCAGGAGCCAATCAGCTGTGCTTCAGTGTAAGGAATGAGAGAGAGTCTTATTATTGTGCTGCTTAGGAGAAATTGAAGGTCTCCCTCATACTAGAAATGGTGTGTCAGAGCGGTGTACATTTCATGTACTATCATGTAGTAGAAAATACAGCTTAACATATTAAACACACACACGAAAAGACAAACAGCATAGAGCATCGGTGGTCAACCTTGGCACTCAAGCTGTGGGTCGAACTACAAAATTGCATGAGGCATTGAAAGACGGATAGCCACAGCCACAGGCAGAGGCAGATAGCCATCATGGCAGAGGCGGATGCATAATGGGATTTGCAGTTTCACCACAGCTGGAGTGCCAACGCTGCCTACTCCTGGCATAGTTGCAATATTATAAAAGACCTTACCGGATCAATGCCGAATGGGTAGACATTGGTGAAGACATTGGTTATATTGGGGTCCAGTGGTACAGGAACAAAATTATTCCTCAAGATTTCGCTCCTAAATAGGGAAATTGTCATAGGTAAATATACACAAAACATCACATTCATATATTTCCCCACGCTAAAAGGGAACCCATCACATTCAATATCCTATTGATCTTTTCACTTACGTCCAGTTCTTATCTCTGGCCATTGCTGCAACGCTCCACCCTGAATTAAAGATGACAGTTGCCCGGCTGAAGCATTCGTTATAGACAAAACCGGTGTAAATGGATAACAGGCCCATGAGTAGAATCAGATACCGGCCTCCAAAACACATAGAGAATATCTGACCAGATTAAAAAAAACAAAAAACACAAGGAATAATAAAAATAGTAAAAACAACAACAACAAATACAAATGTAAAACAATATAATAATAAATTATTATTTTGTAATAGTCACTATCAATCTTCTAATGTTCCGGCCCCTCACCTCATTCTCAGAATTTTTCAGCTTTGGGTTATCCTCTCCAAGAACTAGCCAAAGGGCAAACAGGAACATCAGGAGCCCATGGCCAACATCACCAAACATAACGGCAAAGAGAAACGGGAATGTTATGATGGTAAAAAGAGCTGCAATTTAAAACACAGAGAGAGGGATTGTTAAAAATAAAACAATGATACACAGTTAGCATCTAATGGACAAAATAGACTGTACATTACAGTAATGAACGGGGGAAGCTTGTTGTAGTCTCATTAACAAAATTGATTCTTGTGAAATATTTATTTTTGCACATGGTTAACAGTGAACTATATACAAAGGGGTTGTCCCATGTTTGACCAAATAACTTTAGACCAAATGACAAAAATTCCTAGAAAAACCATAGCCAAGTATAAAAAACCTATAGTTGTGTGTGCGCAGGTGTATCCAAATGGGTGACGGGCTTCTTAAAAATGTCAAAATATAGTCCACAAACTGAATCAGAAGGAGAAGATGGTCCAACATGTCCCAATAGCAGATGGGTGGTGGTAAAAAGGCAGGTGGTGAAAGATTCTGGGCCAACAGATACAACATGGCCTTTCCGAGAGTCCTTTTAACATGGTCTGGGGGGACTAGGCAGGTGTGATATTCAAGTGCCGAATAGAGAAACCAAGCGTTGGACCAGCTGGAGGACCATGAGGTTGCAATAATTGTGGGCTGGTTTAAAATGTCCTGATAGCAGAAGAACACCACAGAAAATAATACAATACAATGTATTATGAAGGGTGGTGCAAACTACTAAAACCTTCTTAATTCAATATGGCTGCCTATCCACTGCAGGTTAAAAGGAAAAAAGTGCTCATTAGTACTATTAGTTCCCAAGGAAGGTGGTCTAATAGCCTCTTCCTGGCTTACACATATAGTGTAGCTCAGGGTTCAAAATTTCCACTCGCCTGCTCGCATTTGGCGAGTTAAAATAAAGTGAGGGCGAGTGAAAATTTGGGTCTCCAAGTACCGGTCTGCGGCCCAACTCCGGCACGCGAGCCGGTAATATGAGCCCAGCAGCCAGCTGACATGTCAGGCACGCGGTCGCAGACCGCGTACCTGACTTGCGGGAGAAGCTCCACGGTCTGCATCTGTGTCGGATGCAGACCGCAAGGCAGCTCCTGTCAGCTCTGGCTTCCTTCGGCCAGAGCTCTGAATAGTACAATCTGCCCATCTTGGACAGGCACATCGTACTTGCGATCATCGCAAGTCCTCCCTGCTGAGGGGCGGGCTTCTGATGATTGCAGTGCAGAGCGGGCAGTGTGCGCTTGCGCACACCGGCCCGTTCAGCATTCGTCTTCCGACCACGCCACCAAAAATCGGACGATTTTCGGCGGGTTTACCAGTGTGCTTGGAAGATGAAAGACTTGCGACCTTACAGTAGAAGTGGTCACACGCTGCCCATACACCTGCCGATTATCGTACGATCGCGGGATCACCCACAACTATCGTACTATAATCGGCAGGTGTATGGGCATCTTTAGTGTAGGTGTATATTAGGCCCCATTCACACCTACAGTATATTTCAGGTGTGATTAGGGATTCCCGTGTCAGGAACTTGCGTTTTCCTGCAGCAGGAACCCCTAATCTGCCGTTTACAAGCGGAAACTATTATAAGATTATTTAAGAGGGTGTGTTTAGGGGCGGAGTTAAGGCCGGGGCAGGGTAAGGGTTAGGTGGGGCAACTGGTGGCTAGTAACTCTTAAGGCCTGGCTAGTAGCTCAGGACTTAATTTTGAGCCCTGGTGTAGCTAGTGCTATGCACTGAGTCTTCATGCACTGGGTGGGACCTGCTAGCACTATTGCTAGTCAGTTCAATAGTCCAATATCAGGACCTTTGGAGTTTAGAAAGATGTAGTATATAGATATTATGCAAGTTACTTTTATTTCTTGAGACATTTTCCATGTAGGCATAAATCGCTTCTCTTTGAATAGCTAACCAACATGTTAAGCGTGAAGTTATCACAAGTAACAAAATACCCTAGTACTGATTTATTGAATTTAGATAAGAAGTCAATTAATAACAGCCTCAAGCTGTTTGAATGCCTGTACAAGAGAGGCATTAACAGCTCTGAGGAAAAGGGATACAGATCCCTTGAAACGCATTGGCTATTATCCATTGACTTCTCATCAATTAATATGTACTAGACTAATCTTTTACTAGTGGTGCTCTCAGTCTCTATACATTGTCTGATCACTTTGGGGACCCATGGGATACCCCTTAGGATAGAAAGCTGCCTCTTGTGACCAGGGATCATACCAGACCATGTACATATTTGGGATCAGCACTCCAACTAACAAGTAATTACTTGGCACTTTGAGAAGCTACAAGCACCAATACAATATATGCCAGTGTAACTAAAGAACAGTTAAAAAAAGTGTTAAGCCCTTCATGTAAAATCATTATATACTGTACAGACAGCATTCATCTGCATGTTCCATTTATAGAGGGGGGGT